CTGTGTGTCCTGCACAGTGTGACTCAGTAATAGGCAGGTGGAGATCCTCAGAGATAAACTTCACACTCCAAATACAAAGCATCTTCCCTTGTCATAGCCTGAGCTCTGTCTCAGAATAACAGGGCATGCCCAGTTACAAAGTCATCACTCCCAGGGAGTCCCAGCTGGAGTTTCTGACCACAGACCTACAGCCTCCCAGGCCAGAGATGATTTTTTTTTTTTTTTTTTGGTTTTTCGAGACAGGGTTTCTCTGTGTAGCTTTGCGCCTTTCCTGGAACTCACTTGGTAGCCCAGGCTGGCCTCGAACTCACAGAGATCCGCCTGGCTCTGCCTACCGAGTGCTGGGATTAAAGGTGTGTGCCACCACCGCCCGGCTCAGAGATGATTTTTATCATAAGCAACGCTGCTTAACAGCATAGCTAATATTCTACTCTGTGAGGTTTCAGGGACAATGGATCAAGAAAGGGAACTGGGTCCAAGGTCAGTATCTCATTCACAGAGAAAGGATTTTGTTAACCCTTCAACATTCTAAAAAAAAAAAAAAAAAAAAAAAGAAGCCAGCCTAGATAGGAAAGAAAAGAAATCTTAGGTCACAACTGCCGGAGTAGGTTCAGAAGCAATTTGCTCAGAATGAACCAATGAATGCACAGGAAGCTCCAGGAGCTTTGGTATCAGGAAAACTAAGCAATTAGGAACCTTGGGCAACAAAAAGCTGGTTAGGCAGCTACTTAGCAGTGGGATCATTGTGAGCACTCACAGAACCCTGTCCCTCTGCTGGAATCCAGCACACACTCTGCTCGGGGAAAGGGGAGGAGAAGGGGGGGAGGGGGGATGTGTTTAGAGTTGCGGTACAGTGTTTCCCTCAGTGAACAATTACTAGATATTGTATGGACAGTGTTTAGATACCCACAACATCACAATGACTTCTTAGTTGTTTCCTTTTCAGGGTCTTTATGGCCATACAGAAAGTTTAACTCTAAGTTATAGCAAAAATAAGCATCACAAACCTTTACAATATTAATGTGGTCAAACAGCTGACAGAAAAAGGGAAAAGAAAAGAAAGACAAAAATCAGAAGCAGGAGAGAGAGCAAAACACAAGTATCCATTTCTCCATCAACATCGTGGGAAGTCAAGAGGTTCCGTCCTTAATGGATGGACCAGAACTTAGAAGTCAGGTATACTGTTCATTTTTAAATGCTGCACTATATAGAACTAAAAAGAAAACACCCCAGAAGAGAGAAAGCAGTTACTAAAGCTGGTAAATGAATAAGGAATAAGATGCTGTTGGTAGTATAGAAGTCAGCAGGAGACAAAAACAAAAATCTACCAGCAAGTCAAAGGCACTCCCCCTGAGGAGTGGACAGAAGGTGCAAAGGTCAAGGTTGGCTTTCCGATTACAAGCCCCTGTATTGTTTAATGTTCTACATGCTGTTTGCATTTGTTAGAAAAGATTAGGGTTCTACAATTTAGAGGAGAGCAGAGGAAGAGAATGTAAGGTCTAAAGGTTAGAACAAGAGGCGCACAAACATTTTTAAAAAACTGTCAATACCAAAGCGTGATTATCCACAACAGGAAGAATCCTTCACCTTGAAAGCAAGCCAGAGCAGGGCCAAGCATCCAGGGCTAAGGCTTCTGTGTATCTGACCACCCCTACCCATGCTACCTCCCAGTTAGAACAGGTACAGCTCTAGAAGCTAAAGGAAGCTTCTCTTGACATTTGCTCTGCAGCACGTTAGTGAAGAGAGCTGTTTGCACATCTTCTGAAGGACTACATTAAGGTGGGGTAGAGTAAACTGAGATTACATCTATGAAGGTAAAATCATAACTACTGGTTCCACTGATTCTAATGGAGTCCACAGAATCTTGTCTTCCTTTTTCTTCTCTCTTGTTCTGATGAATCATCCACAGCTTATTAATATGTAAAACGCTACTGGAGAACCTGAGTGCTGCAATCCAAGTGGAAATCTTGTCAATTATTTAAGTCGATCAATTAAGGGAAACAAACCAATAAGATGCTGATGGCCATGCAAAGGCACTGAGCGAACCTGTACACAGAGGATTTTCTCACTCACAAAACCCCAGTGAGTTTACTACAGCCCATTAGGACAGGCATCTGTGCAGAAGGAGTACACTCTTGTTGAAGGCCTGTGGAGCTCCCTGGATGGATGCTTGTAAAGAAAAGTGCACATGACAGAGGGGTTGTCAGCAGCGCCAAAGATGGTGAGCTGTGGGGAAGCACTCTGGCCTGGGAGCTGTGCTCAACAGCTGCTCTGGAGAGAGCAATGGGCAGCTGGCTCATGGGGCCTAGAGGCGTGCCACTGTTTGTAAAGGGTTCCGGGTTCCAGCAGTGTGGGAGAAAGATAACCCCCCTTTTCCTGTTTCTCCACCCAGGTAGTTTGGTGTTCTTCAGTAATACCTGGGGACTATAAAGCTCGGGCTAAGTGGCAAAGAGTCCTGGATTAAAATTTGACCTCTGCTCCTTGGAAAAGATGCTTCTGCTCTCCAAACTTAATTTTCTCTTTTATAAAATGAGGGCAATGTCCCATTAAGCACCCTGTACTCAGACAATGAGATACAATATATGAAAGTACTAGAATACTAGTTAGCAAATGACAGTTTGTTTTCCTACACTGTGGCCAAGGTGCTCGCAACATTCATGCTCCCCTAAGAAGTGGCGGTCTAGGCACACTCGAGTAGACTGTTTTTGTCCTCAGTGGTACACGAGTAGAAGGAATGCATACTGTGCAAGCCCGGGCTTCTTAGAAACAGCTATAACCTCTCTTTCTGCTTCCATGACCTGTAGCTGCTAGACACAGAAGATGCCGATGAGCCCCCAAACAACGATGAACCCACAAGAAGGGGCCACTTGACAAGCCACCCTGTTACAGGAAGCTGGTTAAACATTGACGCTTATCTGTTATAGCCCCAAACGTGAATGTCACCATAAAACACGATGTGTAGTACTAATAGCAGTGCTGGTGGTGTTGAACACTGAGTCAGACACACTGTCATCAATGCCATTAGGAAACCATGGACCAGGGACATAGTTCAGTGAGAGCAAATGCCTAGAGGCATCCTGGCAACCAAACAACCAATCAACAAAGAGACAGACATCAGAAAAGAAATTATAGCCAAATAAGCGTACAAAGAGATGCTCAGCAGCATCAGCCATGGGAAATGCAAACCAAAGCCTCAAGGGTGCCCACTTCATTGCCCCGGGACTAACTGTGGCTCACAGATGACAAGGCCAGCAAGACTGAGAAACTAGTCCCTCACAGGCTGCTGAAGGCCATGGAAGTGGCTCAGTGGTTCTTCGAACAGGTAAATACAGTTACTCTAATAGTAGTTCTGATGGTGTTGAACACTGAATCAGACACACTGTCATCAATGCCATTAAGAAATATTACGCAGCAACTTTACTCCTAGGTACCCTGAAGAACACTTAAACAGTATGTTCACACACACTCTCCTGTGCAGGAGTATGCAAAGCAGCCTTATTCATTAAAGCTAAAGAAGAAAACACAATTCAAACATCTGTCAGGATGAACAACTAAAGAAAATAAGGTCACACACTAGAAGATTATTCACCCAGACAAAAGGGAAATCTTCATCTCTGATACATCTTATCTCCAGGATGAACTGGAGAACTGCCGAGGAGAACTGAGGACAAAGGTTATACAGCATATGATTCCATTTACATTGGCTTACCACATTTTGCAAATCCAGAGACAGAAAGTAAATTACTAGATGCTGGAGCAGCTGGAGGGAAATAGGTTTATTTCCTATTATTGGGGGAGGGGGTAATAAAACTGTTTTGGGTCATCAGATAGTGATGGTTGCACAATTCTGTGAATGTACTAAAAACCGCCCAGTTACACACTTGGAAGGTGAACTTGGAGTACATGAAGGTATTGTAGTTTGGATGTAAAATGCCCTCAAAGGCCATGTGTAAAGGCTTGTTTGGTCACTAGTCTGTGGAGGTACTGGGAGTTGGTGGCAGGACCTAGAGAAAGAAAGTGAGGTACCCAGAGGCATGACTTGGCAGGTGATACTGGGGTTCCAGTGCCTCCTTCCTCCAGCTCCCCAGAGGCCACTTGCAAAGCTCATGACCATGGGCAGGAACCTCTGGAACATGACCCCAAAGCAGCTGTTCTTCTATAGAAGTTGTTTCTCAGTGCTGTGTCATGGGGATGGAAATCGGACTAACATGGGATTGTAATTTGATTTTTTTATTTTTTATTTTATTATTATTATTTTTTTGGTTTTTTGAGACAGGATTTCTCTTTGTAGTTTTGGTGCCTGTCCTGGATCTTACTCTGTAGACCGGGCTGGCCTCGAACTCACAGAGATCTGTCTGCCTCTGCCTCCCGAGTGCACCACCACCGCCCAGCTTGTAATTTGATCTTTAAAGATGAAGTCTCAGCTTTGCTGTGTTTTACCTCCCAGACAAAACTCTCCCCCAATAGGCACCAAGCCTCTTCATGTGTCACGGTTAAAGACTGGCCGGAACAACCCACAGAATCCTTCTTTCAAGGTGTTCCCACAGCCAGGTAAGCTCAAATAGAGACCCAATGCTGAAGGCCTGTGAAGAGCCTAAGGCTCATGGCTTTCCTTAGTTTAGGTAGGTACTGGCTGAGGTTTGGTATGAGGAATGGCGCGAGGTGAGCAGGAAGACAGAGCCCCAGAGTAACCACTGAAGCCAAATTCTCGGAGGAAGTAAACAGTCCTAAGAGGGTCGTGTGGGGCTTGGAGGTCGGAGGCAGGACTGCACAGGAGTCTCTTACTTTCCCTGTTTGGACATGTCAGCTATTTTCAAGTTCAGTTCACAGGTAAAGCTTATTTGGGCATGGCAAGTAAACTCTCATTTAAACTCTTAATAGTCAAAACTGAAACAAAGTATCTTGGGAAAGCACTTCACCACCCTTGTGGTTGCATCAATCTCCTTAGGGGCCTCTGAGCTCACAGAGGGCTGCCCTTGCAGTGAGAGGATGCTACTTACTTGCAGGAGACTTTCGTTCTGTCAGCCACCATGGTCCACTGCTGCTGATTGGTGGAAACCTCAACGTAGTAACTGTAGCTTCGATCGTCACAGTCCCAGAGTAGTAACCTGAGCAAAGAGAAAACACTACATTGTCTTTGCATCCTAACTGCCATGGCGGCCTTGTGTCATCCCTCCCCTGCCCCCTGTGCCCCACCCTGCACCCAGGCTGTAGGGGAGCGAACCCCAATGAAAATACCAAGAGAAGGGCCCCGTCGGGCTGTGGCCCGCTCTTTGGGAGTCCGCTTCACTGACCACCCAACTCCAGGGAACCTCTGTCCCCTTAGCAGCAAAGTTCAGACTGGCTGAGGAGGAGGAGGAGGACGTCCCTGGGTCATCTTCTCAGGTTCTCCAGCTTTCCTCTGTTGCATCTGACTAAGCTAGCTGCTTGGGGAATCAGTGCTTTCTCACTGGTGCTAACAAGCACTTATCATGTTCTGTTTCCTCTCATTTTTACCATGTTTCCACATGACTCTGGTAAGATTACCTGATGTGGAAAAACAGCTATCCATAAACTTCTAGAAGTGACTACTCCTAGCACCCCAAAGTCTGTGTCCTTCAGTAACATTACGTCATATATATTTTATATACACAAAGTCTATGTGGTCATATATATTTACATACCTCTGACATATGTGAATACAAATCTATAAATGTAGATAGAAAGACACATGTATAAAGATGTGTGTCTGTATGTGCATGCGCATTCTCCACAGACAAGGTCTTGTGCTGTAGGCTGGGCCAATGAGCCCATAATCCTGCTTCAGCTTCTTGAGTGCTGTGATTACAGGGCTGTTAACAGTCCACCTGGCCTCCTACACAATTCAAATTATCCTCAAGTTACTTATAATACCCAATACAAAGCAAATGAGATGTAAATAGTTTTTTTTTCTGTATTTTTAAAGGAATTGACAAGAAAAAAATCTGTGCCCTTTTATGCAAACAAAAAAAATTTAAAGCAATGTTCAACTATGTGGACCCCAAGTGAGGGCCAACTACACCAGAAAACATACTCATTATCTGGGAACTTACTATCTCGGTTCTGCTCTGAGCCCTCTTTCTGTTCAGCTGAGAACTTCAATGGACTATGAGTCTACTTATGTGAACTTCAAAGCAGAATTCACTTACCTACCAGTTTCAGAAGAGCTGTTACTTCTAAGGAAGGTATTGATTGGAAAATGGGATGAGGGCAACTTCTAGAAGGCTAGAGATGTGCTAGTTTGATCTCAGTGGTAGTTACATGGCTGCAGGAGCATGTAAATATTCATCATGCTATGCACAAAAGATACGTGAACCACACACTCTACATGCGTGGTTCTTCAATTAAAAACAGGATCTGAGCCGTTCAATATGGGATCTGTATTTGGCTTCTGATTTCCACTGTTAGCTGGCTTTGCCTAAACAAAGTATATGCAATGTCACACTTAACAGGAAGTGATATGCATGTGCTTCCAGTCAGCTACAACAGTGAGCACCCTGAAGGCAGTGCCCATATCTAAGTCGTTTTTCCATACCCAGAGCCTGGAACAGCACCTCACTTGGAGCCAGTGCTCAGGGGCTGTCAGCTGAGCAAACACAGCAGTGACAATGATGATCATGATGGCCAACATTTCTTTAATGCTTATGTGGATTAGGTCCTATGTCAAGTGCTCTGCACAGTCTGGTCTATTAAATCCACCTGAATATCCTCTCAGCAAGCATGATTACAATCCTCACATTATATGGATGGTAGAAGTGAGTCTTGCGACCGTAAATACCTTATCTAAGCTTATTGTTAGTACGTGAGTGATGCAGGATTCCAACCTGGTATCCCGATCAAAAACTAGTTCTGTAATCACCTGCCAAGTACTCCTGTTATTCCCACTTTATGTATCTGGATCACATTTCTACTCTAACCCATTATTCCCTAACTGCCATTTCTAGTGTCTTCTTTAATCTTGCCATTACAGTCAAGGAAAATCCTTGCACAAGTTTTGTGTCATGCATGAGGCTACTATGGAGAATTACTGCTGCTGTGATTGTTTCTGGATATTTAACCTAGGGTTAGGCAAGTGTTCTACCACTAAGCTATGTTCATAGCCCTCTTACATTGCCTTTTAAGGTGGTGTCTAAGTTGCCAAGGCTGGCCTTGAACTCTCACTCGGTAGTCCTAGGCAGGCCTTGAATTTTTATTTTATTTTATTTTTATTCCATGTACATTGGTGTTTTTACCTGCATGTATGTCTGTGTGTGAGTGTTGGATCCTCTGGAACTGGAGTTACAGACAGTTGTGAGCTGCCATGTGAGTGCTGGGAATTGAACCTGGGTCCCCTGGAAGGGCAGCCAGTGCTCTTAACCACTGAGCCATCTCCCCAGCCCGGCCTTGAATTCTTTGAAGCCCTGTCTTTCAGGCCTCTGAGCAGCTGGGATGACAGGCCCGTGCCCAAGGCCCAGTTCCTGTCCCTTCAGTTCTTTGCTTCAGTCTCACCTCTGCTTGCAATCAAGGAACAGTCATGTGCTCTTACAGGGAAGGGGAGATCTCAATCAACCCCTCCTCACCTCACAGCTTTGAGTATGGTAAATGTCCTCAGAAACTCCTGGAGGATGGTGGTACTAGAAGAACCTGTAAACTGATTGGTGGTGGCACACGCCTTTGATCCCAGCACTTGGGAGGCAGAAGCAGGTGAATCTCAAGTCCAAGGTCAGCCTGGTCTACAGATGTAGTTCCAGGACAGCCAGGAATACCCAGAGAAATCCTGAGGGGAGGGGGGAGCACCTGTAAGGCCATGCCTCACGCCATCTATATCAAAGGCACTGACTTCATAACATTTCATTCTACAGATGTCCCACAATTTAATCAGTTTCGTAGTACTCAATATTTAGGTAGTTAGTAGTATTTCACGGTTAGGAAAATTCTTTTTTTTTTTTTTTTTTTTTTTTTTTTTGGTTTTTCGAGACAGGGTTTCTCTGTGTAGCTTTGCGCCTTTCCTGGATCTCGCGCTGTAGACCAGGCTGGCCTTGAACTCACAGAGATCCGCCTGGCTCTGCCTCCCGAGTGCTGGGAAAATTCTTTAGTAAACATTTTTAGCTAAATCCACTACTTCCCTTGAAAGTTTGTACAAAAAAAAAGTCTCACTTTGAGGCTGTGGTATGTATTATAAAATAGCTATAGACCTCTCTTTTCCCACACCCCAGACAAAAATTTCTAAGAGGTTGTACTGCCAGCAGCTGCTAGCCAGTGCCTAGTTCTATATATCTTACTGATAATCCTACTTAGAAACACTGCTGCTGTTATAGATGAAACACATTTCATTAATTTGCAGGGGTTTTTTTAAACTTATCATTGAACTTGAACATTTTGTATATTTTCTATATTTATCCTATTGTTAATGACTTACAAAATGTCCTCTACATCTAAAGGATATTAATTCACTGCCTATCATAGTTGGCATGCTAAAGATATTAATTTTTATTAGCCTAGTCCATCGATCTTTACCTCAATAATTTCTCCTAGCCTAAATTTTTTCTTTCCTGAATAGCAGCCAAGAGCACATAGTGGTTGAGACATCTCCTTTCTATTCTTCTATTAAGAGTCTCTGGGGAATGCAGGGTCACGGTGACTCTTGAGTGGAAAGGGACACTGATGGATGGCAGGTTATCAAGTGTAGGGCTCTGTCTTCTACATGTGGAGTTTTAGAGGGATTCAAATTCATGTACCAGGATGCCTATTTGCTTGGAACTTAGGCTTCATCAGGAATAAAATCCTTTTGTTGATTCAACTGAAAAAACAAGTACAGTTTAAAACCCTGGAAGAAAAGCTGGCTCAGTCTCCTTGCTTTCTATGGGTCGGATTCCGCTCTCGTTAGGCACAGTGTAAAGCCCACCTCCTTCCCCCGCCGGCTTCTTTGTCTGCCTGCAAAGTCTGTTCTTGGTATTTGCACTGACAGCATAGAGACACTTCTGGCTTGTAATCTGGCTGGAATGTTTGCAGAGTGTGATCACCCAGCACAGGCACTCCTTGTGACCTTAAAAGAGATGAGCTCCTTAAACACACCCCCCTCCTTCCTCCACCCCATTATCAGAAGCCATTTTCAAAGAGGCTGACTTTATCCCAACAGAGATTCACCAGTACAGATCAGGCCTGTGAATGGTGGCCACAAACCTCCCCATCTAATGAGCACCCCACTGAAATGCCTAATGACATCACATGCTGTCTCCTCCATCTCCCCTTACTCTTACAGTGGAGAAGTGCTGGTTTTAAAAAAAATTGATTAGCAGATGTGATTCTGCTTACATCTCCCATAAATGCTCTGGCTGGTTGCATATCATTGATTACCCGGGGCTCAGTTTACAGCAACTAATTGCTCTCCTTGCTGGTGTTTTGATACAAAATTCGATAGTGAATATGATTTCAAAACTCTTGTCTTTGTGGCCTGAGTCAGAAGTGACTGGAGGCAAACCCAGTGGACTGAGTTTTCCTTTCTTAAAATAATTGCTCTCTCATCAGTCTGTGAAGGAAGTTTCCGAATCGTAGCATTCTAATTGGAAAGCCTGCATTATGCATGCGATGACAAACTTGTGCTGAATGGCATTTTTTTTCATCCTTTCTTAAGGGATTAATTCCATGCCAGACTGTGAACAATGGCTGAAACCTAACAGAAGAGATCAACAGTTTCTCCACTGAATTGGTGTCTTTAGACCAGGAGCAAGGGCCTGTTTGCTTCGACCTAATTGCCCATCGTTTGTGGCAGCCTTGCTGGAAGACATGGGGACACGACACACTGCTGCTGTTGCTAGAAGCTTCCTCATTTGGGGGAAACAACCAACCAAAGTAAGATCAACTACCCGGCTATTAGCAACACAGTAACTTATAGAACTCATTTATAAATTTTCTGTCAAAGACATTCATAACCTCAAAAAATGTATATATAATATCCTTAAAGAGTTCCTAAGTTCTTCAGAAATAGTTACCTTTCATTTAACAATTAAAAACTTATTTACCAAGCACTAAGCACCATTAGGTAAATCTTTGAACCCACTTATCTTCACGTTCACCCTTTGTGGACTTCAGTGTCTGCCTTTGATAGTAT